TAGATTATAATAAATCTAAGTTTAGAGGCAAAGAACAACTGAACAAATGAATTGGAGTGTAAACTGTAAGGCAATTAGCTAATCCAACAAAGCAAATTACTCTCTTTATGCCTTCTCAGATTCAGAAAGCATATTTCTTTATGATCAATAACAAACTAAAACCACACAATTTCTTTACCATAACCCTCGTATAAAAACTCTCTATTTGTTCGAGCACTTCAATCTTTTAGATATCGTGATAACATTGTTTATTGTATCATATTAATTTATTATTATACCTTGATAAGGTCTTCTAGCGAGAGAATGGTGTTGAGGGTTCTTTCATCTTCTAAGATTGTGGCCGGCTAATCTCATCCTGCAACTCCTCTTTGATTCATCAAATGCTGACACTGCATGAAACCTATCAAAATACAACCACCCTACATGTACAGGGTTATTTTTGACAGATATTTTATAGGTACTCACACTGGTGGGGTCTGCGTTAATTTTTTTTTTTTTTATACATGTAGAGCCCTTGCTACAGTGAGGACCCCGTATAAACCCTCTAGAAAAAGCCCTGTATCAAAATATACCTTCGTTCATTACTTGAAAATGAAAATAGGGAGGGGGAATAGTATTATTTAGAAAAATGATTGGTTGAAAAAGAAAGAAAAATTTTCGATTTACGTGTAATATTATTTTATGAAAGATTATGTTGTTGAAAATAGAAGAGAGAAAATTGGAATGGAATGGAATGTAATTTAATGGGATGCTATATGTCCATTTTAGTCATTGCTTATTCATAATTCATGTGTCGAGAATTTTTAATTTTATAATACCAAGAGCAATAAATTCTCAGTATATACAGAAGAACCGCAAAATTTCTAGAGTTTGGCCTGAATTTGAGATTAGTACTTTTACCTGCTACACTGTTGGGAGAAACATTGTTCAATGCCATGAACCACTACTTTTCGAGCTTTGGCGTGCATTTCGGAAACCTTGTGCCTTCTGTGGTAGTCCTTGGCATTCACTAGCACCACTTGGCATCCCTCCACCTGTCACCTCAGCAAAGTTGGGGGAGCCGCCGCCTCCGAAGAACCATCGCCACCACCAGATGTACTATTGGGTTTGCCTTTCTTGGTCATTGAATATCCCGCTGCCACATTCTCGAAGTGGTGGTGCCTCTTGCGCAGCTTCAAGCAAGTCAAAATATAGGTCTATCTGGGACTGGGAAAATGAAGAATCGTTTGCAGTATTATCTTGGTGGTTCATAAGCGGGTGAAAAGCACGTGCTTCCACTTGCACGGTGGGGGAGGTGGCGGAAGCTGTTGGCAAGATCCCAGATCTAGCAAGCATGGCAAGTATCATTACGTTCCCTACTTCTATAACTGAACAGGTTCCAATTATTTTCCATCTTTCACTCCTGTGTAGTACTTCGTATTCAGTAGTTAGATATATACGTCGGCAAATACACACACAAGTTTGGGTTATACGGATGCTGCATATAAGTTGGGGATCTGTCTCTCGTTTGGCGTCCAAAATTAGTAGTAACTGTTTTGTTTTTAAAGAAAAGGAAACAAAATTGTTTGAAAAAAAAAAAAAAGTGGAGATATTGGCGTGGGGGTATGGGCACTATTCTAAAAGGCCAAGCCAGACTTCTTTAACAGTCATATCACAATGTAGTTGAGAAAATGTATGAATTTTTTATAAATGTGTTTTAGATGTTTGGTAGGTATTATTTTTAATTATTAAACAATTTTTAATTGATTAAAAATTAAAATAAGAAAACGTTTTTTTACGCTTTTCTACGTCCATGCCTCGCCTAAGCTCACTTTGTCCATAGCTTGATATCTACGCATTATCAGGCATTATGCCTTTTAAAACACTAGGTATGGGTATGGGTATGGGTATGGATATGGTTGAACTGTGTATAGGGCCAAATGAATAGGGTTAGATGCTTAAAGAGAGATTCTGATTTGCAAAGTAGTGAGAGGAAGAAAATACAAGGAAAGAAAGGAAGCCTAGTTGATTATGAGTGATGAGGAAACAATGTGCATTTGGAACTTGGAAGGCACTTTTGGTTCATGTTAATAGGTTGAATGATTCTATACGTACAAAATAGTTTCGCAGAATTAATATTAGAAGACAATTGTCTCTTTGTGATTGGTTGCTGATATAAATTATGTGAAATTATTTCTGTAAGTGTAGCATTGTTCTAATAAATTCGAGGAATAATTAAAATTCATCGAAACTTGCGCATGTAATCATACTGCATGTCTTATCTTATTGTAATTTTTGATTGATTGGAACCCTAGATATAGATAGGCCAAGTCAATTGTGTTTTTCAAATCTTTTGCTTGGATGTTGTGGGCTGTATTATCATGGGTAAGACAAGCAACTTTTTCACGCCACGGTCACTCGAGATGCCAAGGGATACGATTTTCTTTTCCAACTACATATACTATGTCCCCATTTGGTCTAGATAAAAATTATTATTATATTTTACTAAAAGTTGATAAATTGATGGTCAAAGAGTTGTGAATCTCGTTGAATATATGGTTAAAATAAATTATTAATTTTGACTTAAATTTTAATTTAACTTTCTAGTCAAATCAAATATAGGCTACATGTTTCGTTTACTTAAAAACACTTCAAAATGTGCTTTATTTTGAAAACGTGAATCCAAAACAATGGTAATAATTTATCAATTTTCTCTTAATTATTATGTTGAAACATAAGGTCACACTTGATCCGTACACAGGGATGTTTGTATGAATACTTTTATCGATGGCCATTCGATAAAACAGTCTCTGATAAAGAGTTGGCCCTACACTTGAGAGATTCCCTCATTCAGCAAAGATTTCATTTAATTGCTTGATTGTGACCACTCCTTCCTATCTCATTCTTTTTTCAAACATTTGTCACCTAAAAATTCAAACAAATGGAAGGAATTGAATCGAATTGAGTCGAGTACAGAAATTGAAAGCAAACAATTAGAAAAGGGTGGAATACTCGACTCGCCCTTGGACAAAATTTTCAATTTATAAGCCCGGCTTATAAATCACATAAGCTGAAACTTCAAATTTATTTGACTTAAAAGCTACGTACTTTGTAAAATACATATCACAATATGAGTTAATATTATCCTCTCAATCAAAGCAATGGGCTTCTGACACGTGTACAATTAGAACTTTGCAACAGTGAGTTATTGGGTTGGGAAACAGGGAGACATATACATTCAAATGTACGTTGTTTCTTTTAATGAAACATAAAAAAGAAGAAAATAATACACTTCTATCTATACCTTTTTCTCTATGAGTTAAGAGGGGACCATTTTTTCTTACCTACGTCAATTTGAGAAATCTTGTTTTTGAGGATATTAAGGTAGTATAGCTCCTATCCCCTCAATCTATGAGCATGCTCACGTACAATAATTGAGAATTTAATTAGAGAAATTTTTTAAACGAAAAAATAGAAGGTAAGAAAAGAAAATCGTATAAAAAGAAAAATTACGCTAACCTTCACCTGTCTACCACTATGCACGTACATTTTTAGAATTGAAAATGAAAGTGTTTGCTTGAAGTTGTGAGAATGGCCTCACTCATACTATATTACTCACACGGTTTTTGCTCGTTATCGTAGTTGATCAACTGAAAAGATCATTAAAAATACCAATTGTTATGAAATTGTGCGTGTGAAAATGATTTTATAATAATTTTTGTGGAATACCATTTTCAATTCATTTCTTCTTATTAATTATAGCTTGTTGTTTTGTCCTTTTACTTGGACTAGGCCTGAGTTCTAAATTTGGACGGCCCATATCAATATCAATGTATTTAAATGGGCTGCTGAAAGGACAAAGCCATGTTTGGTTAAGCTCATAAGTAAAATGGGCAATTCACTAAAATATGGATAAACTATGGGGTGAATTGAAAAATATTGATTTGCAAAATTACAGCGTTTGCTAGCACCTAAAGAAAAATTCGGCAATTACATTTTATATAACTTTTATATGTACATAATTTTTGAATGTAACTTACACTGCGTTAATCTCGACTACGGTGTATGTAATTTTCTGAAATAATAATTTACACTCAATTAAATTGTATATATGTTTTTTCAAATTTCAATTTTTCTTAATTACAAAATTGTATTAATCACGTTACCAATTTATATAATTTATTGGGATTGTAACTTACACTATTTGTTAAATCATGTTGTAGTGTATTAAATGATGAGGTAAGTCAAACGACCTACGAGGTGACTGCGCCCTCACATGCCCTCGCGTCTGTCCCCCATGAATAAAATAATCTCAACTCCCATGTGTGTATATTGTGTCAATCCCACGATCGGGCATTGTAGCTCGGCCCTTAAATGATTGTTGTATCATATATAACTACAAATGCAAGAGTGCTTAATCGTAAGCCCCAACTACATGTTATATAATTTTATTTTCGTACTATTATAGACTGACTTAATGTGATCATAACCTCACTAACAATTACATGGATACTTCAATTTAAAGTAGATCAAATGTGAAACACTAAAAACAAGTTCCCAGGTTACTCAATTATGAAATTCTAGAACTAAAAACAGGTATGAAAAGTATGCAGCAAAAAAAAAAAAAAAAAATCCATTTGCACTTTAACAAATTTTAAGTCAAAATCAACAATTAATTATAACAACATATTTAATGGATGATCAAGGTCTATTTTTCTAGTCAATTATCAGTCAAACGGACAGAAACCATCCATTTGCCATTCCCTTGTAATAAAATGAAAGATCTGAGACTTTGTCTGACACAAATGAAACGATTGAATAAAAGCTTGCAAAAAATAAAATATTTGGAATCGTACCTACAATTCTCCCTAAATAAAATATCATACTTTACAATGTTAGCCAGTATGAAGTATGAACGACTATCAAGAGATATAAGCATGCTACGCGTGCGTGAGTGAAGTTTTAGAGTAAATAAGGTCCCATGACTATAAATGCCATATCTACGATGAATAGGGGAAACCTTTAAGAAAGAAAGGATCTATTCTATTATAGTCCGCAAGGCAGGCATTCTTTGGACTTTTCTAAATAATGCTTGATTTAATTTCAACCGTTGAGTATCATTATAAATTAAAAAAAAAATGTGAAAATCAATTGTACGTTTGTATTTGTCATATCAAAGACAGCAAATTAGAGCTTTATTTTCAATTTCCCATCAAGTTTTTTGAAAAGGGCATGGGCATAGTATTAGACCAATTTTAAGTTTAAGTGGGCTCAGCCCAGCAGAGTAGCAGTCCTGGCAAAAAAAAATTGGACCATAGGCCCAAGCCCATTAATTTTTGTCAAATCATGTCGTTCTTATGGCAATGAAGAAAGTGGAAATTACATATTCTAATAGATTAATAATTCTCATTTCATAAATAAAATGCCATGTTTAGTATTTCACAAATCAGAAATTTTTTTAATTAATTAATATATTTAAAAATTAATTAAAAAACCAGACTTTCCATATTTGAATATTAAATACTAATTATACAAATTCCATTCCAACCCTAATCAATTTCCTCTCTCTCTCTCTCCATCTCCTTCTCTCTCTCTCTCTCTCTGCGGCTGCTCACTCCAGCTCCATAATGGTGGTGAGATTGTGGTGGCCTTTGACAGCGTCACTCGAAGCGGCACCCATTGAGATGCGGTATTGTGACACCTTTGCATGCACGACGCTGTGGTGGTCAAGATGTTGGCGATGGTGATGGCTTCATCACCCCACCGTCGACGGCGTTTGTAGCGATCCAACCTCGTTGCGGTGTGAAGCTAAGAGCGGTGCTGCGAGGTTAGGTTGCGGGGGCCATGGTGAATCTAGTGGCGTAGCAATGTGGAGCGTCGACAACGTCGCCTCGATTTTGTTGAGAGTTATTTTTATTGGATCTACTTGCGGTGTAGGCCGTGTGTGATGGTTGTTGTGGCGGGTGGTGTGCATGTGCGCGGGTGTGGTGTATCTATGGTGGCGTGAGGTGCGATGGCTAATTTTTATTTATTTATTTATTTTTTTGTTGTTGTTGTTGGATGTGGTGCAGGCGATGGCGGCGTGGTGGATAGTGATGGAGGTTTTGGATCTATTTTGCGGTGGTGTCGCCCAGATCTGGATCTGCTGCAGAGGCGAAATAGGTGGGGATCTGGGAGATGAAATCTGATTAGGTTGTTGCGGTGGTGGCATGGTTTTTGCGGTGGTTGTGGTATGGTTTTGGTGTTGTGTTGGTGGTGTGGTTGTGATGTTGGCAACAGTGGTGAGATGGTGGAGATGTTCCCGACGGTGGTGAGGTGACAGTGGTGGCTGATCTAGGCGGATTTGGTGTTTATGTGAAGGCGGTGGTCGAGGTGGGATGGATTGATTGGTTGTGACCAATATCTACGTGATTGCTATTAATAATTGGATATGTGACCTGATAATTGTGACTGCGACCTCTGATTGTGACTCACAATTGATTGAGTTGTGATCGAAAAGTTAATCG